GTGGCTCTTCCCGAGACCCCTGGGACAAATCTAACATTTTTCCCGATAATGTTTTGAAATGAATCAGTGTTCAACCCCAAATCTGAAAAATCCCTCTGTTCTCTTCCCATGCCAAATTATGCCCAGGCGTGTTGTCCAGCAGACTCTAACAGAAGTTTCTCAATAAAACCAAAGAATTCATGGACATACTCTAAGATGGCGATGTAGGGATGCTCCAAATAAGAATATACAAACCCTCCTCCTGCGGTCAAATTCGCAAGAAAATATTAAAGATAAAGTCCTAAGGAAGTCCAGGTCTAAAATTATGAGGACATTAAATTTGAAAAGAATTAAAGTGCCCTGTTGCCCTTCTTGTCTTATTGCCCTTTTGCATTCAGAGTTCACAGAAATTAAAATCCAAAAGTTGCCTTCCCCACTTTCTCCTGCCGCTCAAATTACCAGCTGGATAAAGTGCAGGGGCTGGCACTCATTGTAGTCAGAGGCTACCTTCCACCAACTTGTGGGAGCAGTTCCTTCAGGATCTTAAGTAGATGCACCTAGGCTCCACTATCAGAGTTTTTTTTTTTTTAAAGTTCTTAGTTTATTAATCCTCTCATGAAAAATCTGCACAAACGCCAGATAGTCCCTGAAGCATCTTTACTCCTTCTGTTGTCCAATCTCCAGCTTACTTTTTGCCAGCACCAACATTAGCTTTTGCAGTTCCCCTGACTTTCTTCATTCGGTTCTTGCATTCCTTCCGCTGTTTTCTTGACGTCTTTTTCTTCTGATACAGGCCATGTCGTGCAAGTCTATGTTTGGGTTCATTTTTCTTGGCATAATCCAAGGAATCATAAATCATGCCAAAGCCAGTTGTCTTGCCACCTCCAAAATGGGTTCTGAATCCAAATACAAAGATGACATCTGGTGTGGTCTTGTACATTTTGGCTAGTTTGTCCTGAATTTCTGTCTTAGGTACTGTTGCCTTTCCGGGGTGAAGAACATCGATGACCATCTGTTTCCGCTGAAGTAGTCGGTTGGTCATGAACTTCCTGGTCCGGATAGTTACTGTGTCATTCATGATGGCGGTCGAGCTTTAGGCAGCCAGGGAGGAAAGAAGACTCCACTATCAGAGTTTTAACAGCTGAGAAAACACAAAATCCTTCTGAGCACTTACCTACATCTATAAAACTTAGAGCCTAACTCAAGCTCCAGGCCTATAGGAGTTATGCCAGTTGGTGGGTCCCCTCCTACCCCCAGAATGCAATTTATAGCAGCATGTGATTGTGCAGGCCTTCAGGGCATGGTCCTCAGGGCACCATTTACATCCCAGTCCGTACGACGCCCCATCTCCACTATTGCACGGTACACCTCACCCAACACACTCTGGAGCCACCCTGCAGAAGTCCTTCATGGAGATCCAGCGTTATCAGGGGACAAGGGAGCAGGTGCAGACAATGTCAGCTTTGGGTGCACGGGAGTCCGGGAGCCCATGTCAGTTGTCCAGAAGCCACGAGCTATCTATTCAACTCAATTCCAAGAGATCTTCCTGTGGCAGTGACAGCAGCTCGGGGCCAGACACTGTGTGATCTCTGTCCATCACATTTACTGGTTATCTATTCAGGACCCAAATCAGATCCTAGAACTCCTACAGGAGAAGCCGCAAACCCTCGTGAGACAAATGGAACTTTACAGTCATGTCCCATGTACCTGCTTAACCCCACGTGCACTGAGAGATTGTTGAGACACGGCTTGCCTTTCACACCTTCTGTGGCCCCCCACACCGTGGTCCATCCAGATGGGATGATGCCCTTCTTCTTCTTTAGGCCCGGGAGGTCTCTCCCTACTTTTATTTATTTTTTTTTTTTATTTTTTTTCCCAACATTTATTTATTTTTGGGACAGAGAGAGACAGAGCATGAATGGGGGAGGGGCAGAGAGAGAGGGAGACACAGAATCGGAAACAGGCTCCAGACTCTGAGCCATCAGCCCAGAGCCCGACGCGGGGCTCGAACTCACGGACCGCGAGATCGTGACCTGGCTGAAGTCGGACGCTTAACCGACTGCGCCACCCAGGCGCCCCTCTCCCTACTTTTAAACACTAGTTCAAATGTCTGTCTGAGGTATTTCCCGACTCCATCATTTACTCTAGGACTCATTTTTCTTTATTTTATATAACTGACACGCACACAAATAGATATGTATATTCAATGTATGGATCTTTCTAATTAGCGTCAGTCAGTAAATTGAATGTATGGAAAGTGCCTTAGACATCCTCATATACATAGGATCTGGCATACGGTATGTAGAATAAAAATGCTGGTACGAATGTGATAGTAAATGTGGCATCCATTATAATAACATTTTAACTTGTTTACCAGAAAAGGTACATTACCTAAAACTTGGCAAATCTGCTGTGTTCTGAAACGAGAGGGATCAGATTATCCATCTAAATTTACCAAATTCACATGTAAGTGGGAGAAACAGTGCCACCTAGTGGTAAATTTATTTTCTGTTTATTTTAAATTATTTCTATCTTCTATATTCCCAGCATTTTCGAATAATGTCTGTGGTCACGGCTATTCTGAAGTTTATAGCACATCATAGTTGTGTTATAAATTCAATGTTTGGCTATACACACTCATACTTGTTTTGGAAATACCGTGAAGATTATTCAGCTGGAGGAATCTGTTTTCCGGGAACACACTTGAAGAGAATTCAGGCGTCCACTATTTGGACGGGTGTCTGTTGAAGAAGGTTCCTCAAGGCTGGGAGTTGTTCCGGCTGCTGGCGACACCGCAGTGGATGATCAGTCTTCCCACCCACGGGACTTATGTTCTTTTGTTTTATTTTGTTTTAATTTTTTTAAATGTTTATTTCTGAGAGAGAGAGACAGAGTGAGAGCTGGAGAAGGGCAGAGAGAGAGGGAAACGCAGAATGGGAAGCAGGTTCCAGGCTCCGAGCTGTCAGCACAGAGCCTGACGTGGAGCTCGAACCCACAAACTGGGAGATGGTGACCCGAGCCAAAATTGGATGCTTAACTGACTGAGCCACCCAGGCGCCCTGGGACTTATGTTCTTATTGGAAGAGAGACCAGGAAAAGTAAATAAGCAACAAATAAGATGCCTTTTGAATAGGAAGATGTTGGGGGCCAGGCAACATTAGATGGGATGGGTCCTTCTGAGGAGGTGACATTTGAGCTGAGACCATATGACAAGGGGGAGGGGGGTGCCCAATTCCGGAGCTTACAGAGCTTACAGCCTCACAGAGACCCTCCTGGCAGGAGAAGGTATGAGAATAGGGCAGGGAGTGGGGCCCTGGAACAAGCAACCGGCCACTCCAGGTAGGGGCTTGCAGACCCCCATAAAGACGTGGGCTTTCACGTCAGGTGCAGTGGGAACCCACTGGAGCATTTAAGGCCGAGCAGGAGTGTAATCTGGTTTAAGTCTGCAAACGCTCAGCCGTCAGCTCTGCAGACGGTACTGTGGTTGCTTGGTGGAAACGGATCTCTTAGGAAGATGTTACCATAACCAAGTTGGAGGACGAAGATGGTCATAACGGGGAGGAGCCCTCTGGGGTGGATGTTGAAGGTAGAGTGGAAGCGATGTGGGGCAGGAGGGGTGAGAGAAAGGAATCAAGGACGACTAAAGTCTCAGGCCTGAGCAGATTAGTGGTATCTAGAAGACAGGAGGATAGGTTTGGGAGGGGTGTGTAGTGGAGAGAGGAACCAAAGCATTACTCATTTATTAGACACTTACTGGGTGCCTTTTATGTGCCAGACACTTCTAAAAACTAGGGACAGGGGCGCCTGTGTGGCTCAGTCGGTTAAGTATCCGACTTCGGCTCAGGTCATGATCTTACAGGTAGTGAGTTCGAGCTCCCTGTCTCCCTCTCTCTCTCTCTCTGCCTCTCTCCCACTGGCTCACGCTCTCTCAAAATAAATAAAATAAACTTTAAAAACTAGGGACATGGCAGGGCACAGAACAGACAGCAACCTGTGCTTTCGTGAACCTGCATTGTCTTCAGAGTGGAAGACAATCACTAAGTGATATATGTAGTATGTAAAGATAATGCGTGCTCTAAATAAAGAATCAAACAGGAAGTAAGAAAGGGAATTTGGGGAGAGTTGACATTTTAAGTAGGGTGGTCAGGGAAGGCCTGAGTGAGTCAGTGATACTCGAGTAAAGACGTGAAGGAATGAAGGAGAGCAAACCATATGGGTGTATAGGAGAAGAATGTTCCAGCAGAGGGAACAACAAACTCAACAGCCATGAAGCAGCAGTGTGCTGCAGAGAGAATGACATGGGGACAGTAAGGCGGCAGGGGTGGTGTGGACAGCAGATTCTCTCAGGCCTTAAAGGCCACCGTGTTGGCTTTGGCTTTTATAGTGAGTGACTGGGGAGCAGGTAGGAGAGGTTTTAGCAGTGCCCTGGGCTGACTTAACATTTTAACTGTATCCTCTGGGGGGTGCCTGGCTGGCTCAGTCGGACTCTTGATCCGTGAGACTCTTGATCTCGGGGTTGTGAGTTGGAGCCCCACATTGGGTGTAGCGATTACTTAAATGAATAAGCCAATTTAAAAAATATAAATACATACACACATACGTACAGAACTGAATCCTCTGGCTCACATATTGAGGACAGGCTAGGGAGGGACAAGAGTGGAACCAGGGAGCCCCACAGTGAGAACCCACACATGCGATTTCAGGGGCTTGCACCAGAGTAGAAGAGAGAGCAACGCAGAGCAAGACAGCGAGGCGTTTGCTGGCTCTAATGACACGTTAGTTTTGAATTAGGTATTACCTTTGCAGTGAGGAAAGATTTCTAGGCATCATACCAGGTTTTTACTGAAGATCATTATAATTGCACCGACTCATTAGCAACTGTCCTTAAGCTAAAACTAGGTCTAACAACATCTGTGTAAGATTCTTAATCATGACCTGTTGTGACTCTGCATCCATTTGAGTGTAAAACTTGCAGCTTCTTGGGGAGTAATGGAGAACTAATGAACTATTTTTCTTTTCAGTTGTATGATGGGGATAGTGAAAATGCCAACTTGGCTGGAATGTTTTGTGGCTCTACTGTACCTGCTCCCTTTATCTCTTCTGGCAACTTCCTGACGGTTCAATTTGTCAGTGACCTAACTGTAGAACGACAAGGATTTAATGCTACTTATACCATTGTGGACAGTGAGTAAACTGAGACATTTTTAACTATTATGAAACATATGTATATTTATGCGCTAAAAATAATGCCATGCCTCTATGCAAACACAACGTTAATTACCAAACTCAATGTTCATTACCAAACTCAGTGTTAATTCCTATGTAAACTCCATGTCAGTTTCTAAACACCATGGTAATCACTCTGTGTTTCATCGGTCATACACATTTGGTACAATTCTTAGTCAAGAATATCCTAACTTCTCTATAGAATGATGTAAACAGAGTTCTTTGGGCTGGAAGGATAAGGAAGAGTGAATTTTAAATATTGTGTGTGTGAAGAGACATGAGTAAATCTTGTCTTACAAGTTTTTCTTTTTTTCCCCAGTGCCTTGTGGTGGAACATATAACGCAACTTGGACCCCCCAAAGTATTTCGTCACCCAATTCATCAGACCCAGAAATCCCATTTTCCACGTGTACTTGGGTCCTCGAAGCCCCTCCACATCAGCAGGTCAAGATCACTGTGTGGGCATTGCAACTGCACCCACAAGACTGTGACCAGAACTACTTAGAGTTTCAGGACTCACCTGAGGTAATAATTATAGGATGCAGGACAGTGACATCTAGTGGCCTTTTCACCAGTATTTACGAAACACGTGAAGTAATGAGGGCATAATTAAATTCCCAAACTCACATATACAAAATATACAAAACCATATACAAACCCCTCTATTTAGGTGTTAAGAAACTTGCACTTGGTCTTGTAGGTGAGGAGCTCTCGAACTGCCATGTGCACAAGAAACATCTGGGTGTCTAGATAAAAGTGCATGCCCCAGGGCTCCCCACCTCCCGCTCAGATACTGTTTTCCCTACATAGTGTCCAGGAACCTAAATTTTCGATGCACATCTTCAGTATTCTGCCATTAGTGCTCCAAGGGCCACGCCCAGAGAAACATTTGTGCAGGAAGGAGATCTGTGTGTACGACAAACTGAAGGGGTCCATGCGGAACACAGGGAAGTCAGTTACGAGGCCGTTTGGCACCAGTCCTTTGGGACTATATTCATGGTAATATGAGAGGGAACAAAAGAAAAAGCTGTTTTAGTCAGAGAGAGAGAGAGAGAGAGAGAGAGAGAGAATTGCCCAGATGCCAAGACATAGAGAAGACAGTTGGACATAGATGCATGAATATTCACAGAAGGCCTGAAGATTTGGGTGTCATCATTATATGGGTCAGTAGCTACAATAATGCGAGTAATGAGATTATTCAGGGAGCATCTGTAAAGTGAGAAGGCATGACCAGATACCTGGGGAGAACCCCCCGGAATACCTGGATTATCTTTTAGCAGTTTGAGAAGCAGCGAATTCACCCCAGCTCATTCCCAGAGTGTCATATTCAACCCCCCGATGGCTGGCAGTTGCAGAGAATCCAATCTATCACTTCCTGAGTCTTCAGGGTCCTCCTCACTATAAATCCAGGGCCCCCTCGTTTACGTATGGATCTTGGTGGGTATAGAAAAATCCAGTCTGGCTGACTCCACTTGGAGAGATCTGAGAAGAGCTGACTTCTGATCAGATACCGTATTTGCTGAATTTTCAGAAGGCAGACAGCAAGACACAGCCTAGGCTCCCACCATGGTCCGCATGCAAGGTTACCATCACTCCCCTGGTAGTGGTTTTCAGAACAAGACTCCTATTCCCTGGTGGTACCCTTCCTAGAGGGTCTTCAAGCCAAGTGGAACAAGGCCCTTTGGTTAAAGCTCTCTGTGGTTCCCATTGTTTCCTGAAGCTGAGACAATGGGGATCGGAGCAGACCACCACCTGGGTGCACAAAGCCTACGTCCAGTGCACAGGTCAGCTCTGGATCATAACCGCAGCTGGACTGGCTTCGAATAAGACCCCGTATTTGTCATGAATGAAGGACGTCCTTTGCCTGAAGGAATGAAGGAAAGAACAAAGGGTTTCAGCGTGGGTAGATTGCGAGGAGAGGTAGGAAAGTGACTGATAACTAGGAGACACTGGAACTCTCACCACGTCCGAGAGTGGCAAGACATTGGACATTCACGCAAGAATCTTGTGGCAAAGGCACCACGGCCGGCTCTGGCAGGGGCCGCCACGGAGGGTGGACGGAAAGGCGCTGGTGTGGAGGAATGCAGATTACAGTGCTCAGTGGATCGCCTGTCAAGACACTGAAACCTCCATGAGTTGGGAAAGGAAGAAGGGTGCAGAGGATGGCCAAGAGCTGGGACACCCCAAGTCTTTAATGAGGGAAAGACGCCAGAGGGAAAGTGGCCATGGTGGGAAGGGTCGGAGGAACCTTTGGCCAGAGGTGGAGACCCTCAGGGGAGAGCTGGATCTGGTCCGGGGATAGATGCAGCCTGGAGAACCCCACCCCCCCCCCCCCCCCCCCCCCCCCCACTAGTCCTACTCAAGGAATGGTGGAGGATGGGGAAAGAAATGACCTCCTGCAGCCCCCTGGTGGAGGCTTGGAGACCCAAGCTTCACTCAGGGCCACGAAGTGGAAATGGATGGACGCATACAGGAGGCAGCTATCACTGCAGTGAGAGTTCAGAGGAGGCGGCGGGCAAGGTTAGGGAAGGACCAGCAGCAGGAGACAGTGCAGGGGAGAAACACACATCAGCAACAAGAGCTTGTGAGCAGGAGCGGGAAGCGGGCCTGTCAGTAGGCGCCCAGACGTTAGAGGCCACAAATGTCTCAACTTCGGTGCCAGTGGCTTTTATGGAAGGATGGGTAGGCGCTGGACCCTGTTACCCTACTATCTGGAGAGGCGAGGAGGGCTGCCCGGGTTTTACAAGGGGGAAATGGGGACCTCATTGCAGGCAGGGGCTGCCTCCTGGGGTTCACAGTGTGGCCAGAGTATGGTTGGATGAGTTCAGGGGTGGTGAGCTGGGAGCTAAGGGGAGGAGCGCTGGGTGGGTCTTTTTTTTTTCTTTAATTTTTGCTTATTTGTGAGAGAGAGTGGGGTGGGGGGAGGGAGAGAGAGAGCCGGGGAGGGGCAGAGAGAGAGGGAGACATAGAATCCGAAGCAGGCTCCCGGCTCTGAGCTCGACATGGGGCTCAAACCCGTGAACCGTGAGATCATGACCCCAGCTGAAGTCAGACGCTTAACCGGCTGAGCCACCCAGGTGCCCCTGGGTTGGTCTCAACGGAGTTCAGGACTATGGGAAAACCCCAGCTCAACCGTGTTGAGCTCAGTCAGCCTGGGTGTGTGCAGAGCCACAGCACAGGCCTTTGGCTGTGAGGCTGCATGCGGGAGAAAGGGTCTTGTCCTTCGTGTCTGTCTCCTGGTTTCAGCAAAAGCTTGGCCTCCTCCTAGCACCCCTCGGGGAGTGTGAGACTTTTGTGGATTCCAAGACCAGCGTGAGCCTGGGTGAAGCAGGATTGGAACACTGTAACTAGTTTCTGTGGGTGAATATTGAGGCCACCCTTTAATGTGCATTCGATTTCTGTTAAGGTCTATTCTCTTTTGAAACTCAATCTAGTGTGATTTGGCTTTCATTTCATTTCAGAGCAATGGAAATCCAGGAATTCAGTTCTGTGGCAGAAATGCTTCGGCTGTACCGACGTTCTATTCTTCTGCGAGTACGGCAATTGTCGTTTTCAAATCCGAAGTTCTCGACAGAAACTCCAGAGTGGGTTTCACGTATCAGATTGCAGGTGAGCCGTGGAACTTTGTCTGTTATTCAGAAAACCTGCCACCATCCCAATTCCTGCTAGAATGGACTCCTGTGAGCAAATTTGGGTCTGTTACCATAAACCATGTCTACAACGAGGTAAGAAATTTTAACTAGAAGCCAGGCCCACGTCCGCAGATGACTAAAGCTGGTTTCCGAGGAGGTAAAGTGAAAATAACACTAATTAAAATGTTTAGAATGCCAGCATATTTTTCAAATCCATGAAAATGTAGTTAATTTAATTTAAATGTATACTAGTTATTTTATTAATTATCCACTTGGCCACAAAAAGAAATCACTGTGTCTTACGAAATTATTTTGTAAAAAACAAAAAACCAAAAAACGACAAGTCTTGAAAGGGCTATTTGACTACAGTAACAATTGAGAAGTTTATTTCCAGGAGAAATTATTTGATGTTCATTTCAAGCTTAATTAAAACTAAAGCTGCTTTTGATTAAAACAAACACATAGTGGGGCACCTGGGTGGCTCAGTCGGTTAAGTGTCTGACCCTTGATCTCAGCTCAGGTCTTGATCTCAGGGTCATGAGTTCAAGCCCCATGTTGGGCTCCAAACTGGGCGGGAACCGACCTAAAAACAAACCACAAACAAATAGAAAAGCTTTTGGTGGTTTCACCCAAAATGATAAGGATGAACAATTTACTGATTCTATCAGAATGAGTAACTTATCAAAGGATATAAATAGAAATCTTCATACAGAAGTCAGTCATGGTTGCAGAGTCTTTGTGCCTAAAAAAAGCCTAAACGTCAACCGACTCCACTTAAATGTGATCAGAAGAGTACAGAGAATTCTAGAAAGTTCATCCTCAAAGGAGAATGCTCATATTTCATATTTCTCATGGGGGCGTTTTACGTTAACGAGACACCACATTGCATCCGCGCTACATGCCGTTACCTCACTTCCTATGACCCCAGTTATCCCAAAGGTGAGAGGGTTGAAATAGCTTTTTTCTCTAAAGTGTGTTCAAATTTAATAATCTTGAATTCTGTCAGGTTGAAAGAACACTAAAAGTTGGGATGCCTACATTAACTGCGATTTTTTTTCTCTAAGGTTGCAACAGAGAGTATAACAGGGCATTTGGCAATCTCAAGAGTCCGGGATGGCCAGATAATTATAACAATAACATGGATTGCACTGTTACTCTCACGGCCCCTCAGAACCACACCATTTCCCTCTTTTTTCATTCATTTGGCATCGAGGACTCAAGTGAATGCACGCACGATTTCTTGGAGGTAATGTACATTTGATCGCATCTAAAGGAACTATTTAAAAGATGGATCACTGAAGATTTTTCCCCTCTTTCTCTGCTACTTCTAATCTTGGAACCCTTACTTGTTCATGATTATTCATCATTCTTCCATCCCATAAATATTTACCAAGCATCCTTCTAGGTACAGGCACCGGAAATCCAGTAGGGAACAAGACATAGGCAGGGCCCCCGAGGCTCAGAGTCCATGGGAAAGACAGATAGGAAAGAGTCAATTCCCTCACACCTGGAAAAGACTAACAGAATCCGCACGGTCAGCAGACCTAATGCAGTTTGGGGAAGAGAAGCTTCCGGGTGGAGGGAGGCGATGTGTGGGTTTAGAGAGAACCGGCAAGGACCTGGAGGAAGCAGAGCCATGCTCCTGGGGCGGGGGCTGGCACTTTGTGATTCTTCAGCAGCACCATGCGAATGCCCTCTGCATTCCTTCTGCCCTGCACCGCCTACACTCAGTGAGAAGACCCATTACATTGTTCACAGGAAGATGTTCTAAATGAGCCCATTACCAGCACAGACAGCACGTGGAGCACAGTGCCTGTATTTTACCATGAAAACCCCAGAGCTCACGCGGGTGTTCTTTGCACACTCTTTTGGAAATGTATTCATTCTTAGGGAGCAGACTAAGGTGAAACCTGAGACTTGTATATACAAAATGCTGAATTCCTCCATGAAATGAATTTGAATCTAAATCTTGCCCGAAGTTGCTCTAAATGGGCTTTGTTTCATGTAAACAAGAGTCTTCTGTAAGGTTTCCTAGCAGTTTATTTGCTCCTCTACATCTGTTAAGGAGTTTTATTATTCTGGGAAGCTCTCTATAGAATTAATCCAAATCTTTTGTTAATGAACATTCTGTTTTTCTTTGAGAGAGAGAGAGAGAGTCAGAGCAAGAGCGGGGGAGAGGGGCAGAGAGAAAGAGAATGTTAAGCAGGTTCCACGCTCAGTGTGGAGCTCGACACGGGGCTCGATCCCACTATCCTGGGATCATGACCTGACCCGAAATCAAGCGTCCGACGCTGAACCAACTGAGCCACATAGGTGCCCCTTGCTAATGAATATTCTGCATCTATAGTGTAGCAAGTGCTGGAAGGAAGCCTGGCCCTTTATCATGGCAAATATACTTGTCATGGTAGGAAATGAGGAGGAGATGAATGTAGCAGGGAGGAAATGAGAGAACTGCAGTATTGTTTGCATCAATCAGGGCATTAAACGCAGACCTTTGTGCCTCACCCACTTCTGTGAAGTGTGAGGCAGGAGCCAGAGGAGGGGATACAGAGAAAGGACAGAATAATCCCGTCCGTTCAGAGCCACAGTGCAGCTACCCTGGGTCCACCTCAAGCCTGAGCTGACCGTCAGTGACTGGAGTTAACAGTTGCCATTTTCCTCTGGATGCTGGGACGTGCAGGCCAGCTCTCCAGCACCAGAGGTGGGAACTACTCCTCCTGGCTGCCCTTCCTATCCCATGGAAGTTGGTTTGAAACTTCCTGTCCGGTAAGCAAAGACAGGAAACTGCAAGTGTGGCCCGTAAAGTGTAGCCAAGTCTGGTTTTTGATGGCAAGACCGTAGCAGGGCTTATCGGCAGCCGTAACAGCAAACCTCCCCATCCCATTGACGTTAACCACGGCAGGAACAGAAACTTCCTGGTGAGGATTCGGACCGTGTTACTACCACACAAAAACCAAGCTCTGGACTACATTTGGAATCTGCGTTTGTTTTTAGTGCCTTCATGCCCCCTTTTCAGGATCGTCTGCAGGCTCAAGGATGCCCCATCCCCCCTCTACAGAGATAAATGAATAGGATGCTAGTGGGACTTGAGATCGAACTTACACTCTCAGAGCACAGCCTTCTCAAACAGGGCCCAGAGGAAAGAGACCCAAAGGGAAGAATAGAGTGGTAGGGGTGCCCGGGTGGCTCAGTCGGCTGGGTGTTTGACTTCAGCTCAGGTCATGGCCTCACGGTTCCTGAGTTGGAGCCCCGCGTTGGGCTCTCCACTCTCAGTGCAGAGCTCACTTTAGATCCTCTGTCCTCCTCTCTCTCTGCCCCTCTCCCGCTGTGCTCTCTTTCAAAAATAAATAAACATAAAAAAAAAAAAAGAATAGAGTGGTAGCAGGTCTGACCTTGCAGCATTCTTGAATATGGCAGCCTTCTCTGAATGCAGGTAGTTCACTGGCTATGCCAACTATAGCAAGGCCACTCAGCAGCATAATCCAAAAAGGACAAAAAGGCACTGTTTTCTCCCACTGGCTACTGCATAGACCTAAAAAGAATCTCGGTTTAGATCAACACCAAGACTAACCATTGTGCCTCTTATGACTTAAGACAGCCAGCAATTAGCCAAATGCTAAACTATGAAATTATAAAGGCAACGGAGGAACTTCCAAGAATTTTGAATACATATGTCAGTAAAATCTCCACTCATACCTGTTGAGCTGGTTCCAGCTCTCCATTGCCTCGGTAACATTTGCTTAATACTCCTCAAGAGTCTTCCTCCGAATAGGGAGGCTGTGAATGCGCAGAAGGAACACTGGGAACAGAAGGTGGTCAGGTTCAGTGTGGTTACCCATTCTCACACACTGACTCATTGCCATTTTCATATGCCTCTCCTCCAAGCAGTCAATCTAAAAAAAAAACAAAAACAAAAACAAAAAACTATTCAGCTTCAGAATGTTTTTAAAATTACCTAATAGTCAAGTTTTATAAATTTATTGAGTTGTGTCCTTTTCCTATGCAGAAATTCCTTGGTTTTGGACTTTATTATACGTCCTACATTGATTTTTTTTCATAGCCCCTTCGTAGCCAAGCAATTTTCAAAGGGAAAACACCATACACACGGTATAATGAAAAAAGTACAATAGAAGCGACTGGAAACGGAGCAGGCAATATCCCCCTCCAATCTTTTGGAAATTTCACAGATATTTCTGAATTCAAATGCAAATGGTTTTTGATCTACAAACTGGATGTTTCTCTCCTTTGTAAGAGAACGCGACTTCTGGGTGTATGTTCAGAAAACTCTTCATTCTTAAGTACACAAAAAGACAAAGGTTTTCCAAAAGAGGTTGTCACTCAGATGGTCTCATGTCTCAGTGGATGGCAACGGCAAGTCAGAGAAGGAAGAATAAAATGCTTAAGTATAATAATTAGCGGCTCATTTTTCAAGGTAAGAAACGGCAGTGACAGCAGCTCGCCCTTACTGGGCACGTACTGTGGAACCCTGCAGCCAAATCCTATCTTTTCTCAAAACAATGAACTGTACCTACGGTTTAAGAGTGATGGTGCAACTTCCAGTCTTGGATATGAAATTGTCTGGACCTCATCACCCTCTGGTAAGACACTTGCACTTTGTAAGGGAAATTGATGCAAGGGAGGAAAAACTTGGAGGGGGGGTGGTGTCTCATAAAAAAGGACAATTAAAAGTGACCTTACCTCTTAGCCATCTGTATACTGTATTGTTTTCCAGTAAATATAGAGATTTTTTTTAACAATGACAGTACAGATATCCTTTTTAATTCTACTCTCACTCATTATTTCTACATTACATGTTTCTTGTAATATGAAGAGATATAGAAAGAGTACAGATATATGAATATACATACATATAAAACATAGATATGATATACATTTTTAAATTCCTTTATAAATTCTGATTTTGCCATATTTTTAACTTTCGGTTTGATCATCAAGGTAGTTCTCTGAGAATTAAAAAAAAAAAAAAACAAAACGTGTACCTAAAGCCAAATTACTTACACATACTTGGGTGTAAGTAAACAGCTGTGCCTTTGATAGCACCAGTCATTTTTCAGCAGTCCCGGGGGTGAAAGTGCATTTTTTCAGGGAAGTCAAGTAACTCCCTGCATGTTTTGTTGGTTGGTTGTCAAGTAACTGAAGGAAATTTAAGTCATGTTAATATATTTCACTCAAGAGAGGAGGAGTATCTTTATGAGAAGTCCCGTTGAGGTATTTCAAAATATCTAAAAATTTCCAAGTAAGAATGATAAAAATGACTTAAATATACTGAGGGACAAGAAATAACTTAAATCTTGGCAGCTAAAGATGCTTACACATGATCTCCGATGCCCTGATTTTGCAGCGGAGGAAATAAAAATGAGGTTAATGAGTTTTCCAGAATGCACAGCAAGATTTTGGCAAAAGCAAGACCAAACCTCCAGGGGTCAGACACCCAGCCCAGCGCCATTTAATCTTACCACGAGGTTTCTTTCTGTTCAGTGGGATGTCTGGGTGCCCAGGCTATCTGGTCTAAATAATGACAGCATTTGCAAATTAACACCAGTACTTACAGGGCTCTGTTTTTGAGTATGTCAATCTCGGTACTGTCAGTTATAAGCCCAGGAAAGTCATTTTACGATTAAATAATTATTGTCAAAACCTACAAGGATACAGTCTTTCAGGTCAGCCCTGGAATTCCACTTTTAATTTTACTTCACTCCCGTCATTATCATCAACTTGCTGCATATGGAGAGCCCTGCGCCATCAAAAGTACACAACAACTTTAATTACTCTCGCCTACAGCTATTTTATCAAGTTCTTTGTTTTCCCAGCCCACTGTTTTCAAAGAAAGGACTTAGAGGAAGTGGTCCCAAGTCATGATATACAGGGAAAAGAATACATGGTAGGGGTGGGGGAAGGTAGGATGAGGTGGTGTTGAGGCAGTGGGGATATAGCCCACAGAAGGAACTGGAAAGGGCTTTCTGCCACCTCTGTTCTTGCAGAGTGTCTCAGCACCTTGAGAAAATTGCAGCCGTCTTCCTGCCTCACAAGGAGATGGTTTCCACTTTGTTGAATATAACGGCCTGTGTTGGTTTCCTTGTAGGCTGTGGTGGAACTCTTTACGGACACAGTGGCTCCTTCACCAGCCCTGGCTACCCGGGAACTTACCCAAACAACACTCACTGTGAATGGACCATCATTGCTCCTGCTGGCAGACCTGTCACAGTCAGCTTTTACTTTGTCAGCATTGATGATCCCGGAGACTGTGTCCAGAACTATCTCATACTCTACAATGGACCAGATGCTAATTCTCCAGCCTCTGGACCATACTGTGGGGCAGTGAGTAAAACAAACATTTTAAAATTCCCATTTATTATTTTTAAATAACTTAACTGTACACTTTTAAAGGCAGACACATGCAAAGTACAAAGCACAAGTCTTTTGCAAATTTCAGCAGTTTCCAGATTTTCCTTTCTATTTGGGGAGCACGAGTGCCACCTAGTGGGCACTGCGTTAAATTAATAGTAATAGTTCCCAGACTCCACTGCATCACAGTCGCTTTGTGCAGTCATGTAGGGGTCCAGACTTTCAGTGCTCACTCCCATCCACTGAACCAGAATTTCTAGGACAGGGGCTGTCGTACGTTGTTTTTTAAAAGCTCCATACGTGATTTCAATGCACTTCCCAGGGTTGAATACCCATATTGTTTTCTCCATGAATACAACTACAGACCATTTGGACACCTGACTCCATTTTATCTACTTCTTGTTGAGAATCGTAGGAATTCTTTGAAGAAATAAATAGAGATATTGAAAATGGGTCTAGTAACTAGTAGTTGTTCTTGTAAAGTTCTGGTGTGATAGATCTCCCTTAAACGTCAAGACAGGATTCTGACAGGGACTCAATTTTGCTTGCGTCTGTCCTCGCCACCTTCTCGTTTTATGTGAAAGTAGATACGGAGCTTTCCAGTAAGGGAGATGTGACCACAGTAGAGAGAATATCAGTTCTTGCCATTCTGCTCTTTATTTATTAGCCTTGCTAATTAATAATTAATAAGGCAGTGAACTACAGCAGCTAAAAATCTAAAGAGTTATTTGGTTTTTCTAAATTGAGATGCAATTAATACATAACGTATTAGTTTCAGGTGTACAACATGAATTTTGTGTGTGTGTGTGACCAGAACTTTTAAGCTCTACTCTCTTAGCAACGTTCAAATAGACACTACATTCCCAGGGCTTACTTATAACTGGGAGTTTGTACCTTTTGACAACCTTCATCCATTTCACCAATCTCCCACCTCCCACCTCTAGCAACCACCGGTTTGTTCTCTATATCTGAGAATTTGGTTTTTTGTTTTCGTTTCATTTCATTTTGTTTTTTTAGATTCCACAAATAAGTGAGATCATGTAGTATTTACCTTTCTCTTTCTAACTTATTTCACTTAGTATAATGATCTCAAGGACCTTCCGTGTTGTCACAAACAGCAGGATTCCCTTCAATTTGTGGCTGGATAATACTCCCTTATCATCACATTACAAATATACAAATATATAATATTATAAATATAGATCCTATATATTTATCCATTTGTCCATTGATGGACAGTTAAATTGCTTCCACATCTTGGCTATCATAAATAATGCTGCGATGAACACAGGGGTGCAGATATCTTTTCAAGTTGTTTTTGTTTTTTTCTGGATAAATTCCCAGAAGTAGAATTGCTGGGTCACATGGTAGTCCTGTTTTTAATTTTTTGGGAATCTCCATACTGCCTTCCACAGTGGCTGCACCAATTTGCATTCCCACCAACAGTGCACAAGGGTTCCCTTTTCTCCACATCCTTGCCAACGCTTGTTATTTCGTGTCTTTTTTATGATAGGCATTCTAACAGGTATGAAGGGATATCTCATTGTGGTTTTGATTTGCATTTTTCTGATGATTAGTGATTTTGAGCATCTTTTCACATACTTGTTGGCCATCTGTATTCTTTGGAAAAATGACTATTCAGGTCCTATGTCCATTTTTTAAATCGGATTGTTTGTTTTTGCTATTGAGTTGAGTTCTTTATATATTTTTATTGTTTTTTAATTTTTTATGTATGTTGGATGTTAACCCCTTATCAGATACATAATTTGCAAATATTTTCTCCCATTCAGTAGATTGCCTTTTTATTTTGTTGATGGCTTCCTTTGCAGTGCAGAAGCTTTTTAGTTCGATGTAGATCCTTTTGTTTATATTTGCTTTTGTTGCCTTTGCTTTTGGTATCACATCCAAAAAATCATTGCCAAAAACCGATGTCGAGAAGCTTAGTGCTTATGTGTCCTTCTAGGAGTTTCATGGTCTCTGGTCTTTAATTCATTTGGAATTGATTTTTATGTGTGGTGTAGTTTCGTTCTATTGTATGCGAATATCCATGTTTCACGGCGCCATTTATTGAAGACAGAAAGGTTATGAAAATAAACCCTAAAAGGAAACTGCAGATGTTAATAGGGGAGAGTCGTACACTATACTGATATGTTGGAAGAAAAAGTATGTGTTTCCATCAGAAAAATTAAAATTTTAGTACGAAGTTGGATTGGAAATTCAACTTTTATGACAATTTTATTGAGGTATAATTCACGTACCATAGAATCCATCTACTTAAAGTGTACATTCAATTGTTTTCAGTAGATTTAGAGTTATGTAGTTCAGAGTTGTCACCACAAACAATTTTAGAACATTTCCTTTCTCCCAAAAGAAACCCTGTATCCACTACCAGTTAATCTCCATTTCCCTTTGATCCTCACCTCCCACCACCAATATTCTTTTTTGAGGTATCCATATTACTTCTTAGCAAGAGTCCTTCTAGAAAAATATGCAGGTTTATGCAAATTCAACAAAATTTCTTTATGTAGTACTTTCTTCCTAGGCTAACGTTTCCAGAAAGATGCTCAAATGTGCAAAACGTGTAATTGGTTACTTCTTTTTTTTTCCAATTTTAGGACACGAACATAGCTCCCTTTGTGGCCTCCTCACATCGGGTCTTCGTAAAATTTCATGCAGAGTATGCACTGCGGCCATCAGCCATCCGGTTAACTTGGGACAGCTAACTATGTAACACGGTGTGGTGGCTGTACTGCAGGGCCCTCGGGCATGAGCACAAGTCTGCCATCCTGATGCGGGATTCTGCCTCTGCCACTGGGAATAATCTGAATTTTGTTTTCACCAACGTATGTGTGGAATCAATATGCATACATTATATTTTTGTTTTAATATAGAATGTAGCTTCATTAGCCTTGGCTGTGCTTGTCACCCTTCCTTCTAACACTTTGAGCAGAAAAGTTCCTAAAATCCCTTATAAAGTTGGAAATGATTATGGCAAATGTGACGGAAACTGTCAAAAGTTAATGATAAAACAGGAGTATGATTCTCACTGTGAATGTCCAATGAGGGGTAATAAACAGTAACGAATTGTACATGATGACGTTGCACTCATTTTTAACTCATTAGCATTGAGTCCTTCACTAGCAGGTGTAGGTTTTCAAGTGGAATTTTTACATGTGGATGAAGTACGCAGATCCTTCAGAAGACGAACTATGGAGCCATGCTGCCTGCATTGACCGTTAGCCCTCCTTGCTGAAGCTTCCTTAACTTCTCTGAGCTTTCATTTACATGTGTCCCACCATTGCCCATTTCTAGCTTACCAGCACTGTATGTAAAGTCCTACATAGCTTAACAACGCTTTTGTAAAGTTTTCTGCTGCCTTTAACCAAACATGTTATGCTAAATATGCAAAGTTAAGTCTCCGTAACAACATGGGACAAAGTGAAAGGAAGACGCTGTGGAATGTGCGACTTCATCCTACTCGGATAGTCAAGGGCCAGAGAAATTGCTTCTGCACAGAGTACAGAGCCACATGAATAAAACATTCTCACCTTTACAATTCCCGCTTCCTTGAACTCTGTGTTATGGGTAGATACATGACTTTCACAGACGACCTGTTATTGGCCGGAGCCGTGAATGCACCGAACGGAACCATCCAATCCACAGGGTCCTGACAAGCCGGGGCAATGGACAAAAACTCAAGATGAAGTTCCGTAGGGGGAGATACAACAATTTGCTCTTTTACCTGAAAATGAATCACAAAGGTACAGGATATAGAGAAATTTGACACTAACATGTGAAAGGACGGGAATTTTATCTGAAGGCAAGACAAACATATGCAGCTGTCAGACAGTAAAAGGATTTGATCTCAGGTCGCGTCATGAGAGTAATGGTATCCACAAGAGTTATGCACAGAGAGATGCACTTTCCCAGGAGGTACATTAACATATCTAGGAGGCACAAAGATTTCAAGAAAACACAGGCAATATTATTGTGTAATTTTTTTAATGTTTATTTATTTTTGAGCGAGAGACAGAGAGAGAGAGAGAGAGAGAGAGAGAGAGAGAGAGAGAGAGCGAGCAGGGGAGAAGCAGAGAGAGAGAGGGACACAGAATCCGAAGCAGGCTCCAGGCTCTGAGCTGTCAGCACAGAACCCAAAGCGGGGCTCTAATCCGCAAACTCTGAGATTGTGACCTGAGCCAAAGTCAGATGCTTACCCAACTGAGCCACCCAGGCACCCCATCTTTTTCTTTCAATCAGAATTGTTTTGGCTATGTAGAATCTTTTCTGGGGACTAATCTGGAGATTGTTTTTGTATTTTTATGAAAAATGAGTTCGGAATTTTTATTGGGATTGCTTTGAATCTGTAGGTCGCTTTGGGTAATACGGATGTTTTCACAATATTAATTCTTCCAATCCAAGAACATGTGATATCTTTACATTTATTTGCGTCTTGTTCAATCTCTTTATCATTGTCTTACAGTTTTCAATGTACAGGTCTTTCACCTGCTTGGTTAAATTTATTCCTAAGTGTCTTTTTTTATTGTTTTTGATGCAGTTGTAATTGGGATTGCTTTTTTACTCTCTCAGATAGTTTGTTGTTAGTGAATAGAAATGCAACTGATTTCTGTATGTTGATTTTGCATCCTGCTCCTTTACTGAATTCATTAATTAGTTCTAACAGTTTGTTTTCTTAGTAGAATCTTTAGGGTTTTTTATATGTAAGATCACATCATCTCCCATTAATAAGATGCATCTAATTTCCGCTGGTTCTGTTTTAATTCACTTATTTATACATACTTATTGAACATTTACTACATGGCGTGTACTAAGAACAACCAGGGATAAAGTAGTGAACAAGACAGCCATACATACAACTGATGTCCTCCTACTTCAAAAATCCCATTACCCACGTCCATCTTGTCTGGTTTCCTGAGCCTGTCCTGAGGCAAAATTTTTAATTTCCTTAGCTGGTGAAACTTATATTAAGCCACCTTCCCAGATCTGGTGGTCAAGTAATAACTTTCTGGCTCCCAAACTGCATGATCACGGAGCTCCATCAGGAGCGATCAGCCCTGCACAGAGCTAACAATCAACAAGTTCACACTGGTGCAGGCCTCCTGGTTGTTAAATACCGAGATATACCCAAATGCTGCTTGCAAGCCATAAAGCGGAATCCAAAAAGCTATAACATAAAATGAATGAGTTTGAGGGGTGGGTGAGGGGAGGTCTTACTTGGAAGTTAATGGAACGTGATAGTCCACGTGGGTCTGAAGGAATACAAGCGAGTACAAAGGTAAAGCAAGGGAAAGTACTACTGTTCACAACTGATCACACACCGAACTGAGAAAGTCTCATGGTTACCTTCTGACCCCATCCCACTCTAGGTGACATTGGGAACTTGAGAAGAGCAGGGCGGGGACAAGAGACAAACTCCAGTACCCACCTCGCCCCTCCGGCCTCCCCAGGATCCAGCAAACAAAGGGATGATGCTTGGCATAGAAGGTGGCTTTAGGACCCTGTTCCAGCACGATCTGATTTCAGTTCTCCTGGTAATACCCATCCCTACCTGCTTATATCTGGCAACCCAGGACTGGGGCGAGCCAGGCTTCCACTCCTACCTGATCTCTTTCCCCTTTGAGTCTCTGTCTCCCTAAACAACTAGACCTTAGCAGGAAGAACAAACCTCATGCCTTTTAGTCTTCAAGGGTAAGTCTAGCCATTATTGGCCAGACTTACCCTTGAGGTAGCTCAGCAAGAGGCCACCACTGGCTCTTTCTGGACCCAGTGGAATATTCTGTCACTCCAGGCATTCTTGTGAATCCCTAGGGCATGGTCGGGGCCAGTGACAGTTGGGGGCTAAAAGATGTCATAATTTGCCATAATTTTCTATTACATTTCAACTCCGTTTACTGGAAGGAATTTGTTAAAAATATGCCACACACTTACCAAGGGAGTACTAACAATATTAATTATATTAAGAAAAATTAGAACTGGGATGCCTGGGTGGCTTAGTCCGTTGAGCGTCTGACTCTTGATTTTGGCTTAGGTCACGATCTCATGGTTCATGGGATCAAGTCCCACATTGGGCTCCATGTTGAGAGTACAAAGTCTGCTTGGGATTCTCTCTCTCTCTCTCTCTCTCTGCCCCTCCCCTGCTCCCAGGTGCTCCCTCTCTCTCTCTCTCAAAATAAATAAACTTAAAAAAAACCCAAAGAATAATTAGAACAAATATCTATGTAACACTTGCCCTCTGCGAGGTGTCATTCTCATATATCACTCATTGAAATAAAACACTAAGAATGATCACCCCCATTTTACAGTTGAGAAAAATGAGGTATGAAAACTCATATAAAACTTGAGTGACAGAGCTATGATTCTAACCTTGACAACCACCCAAGAGTGTGCCTCCCATTCAGCCTGAAGCAGTAGGTGTGAACTTATTAAATATGAGATATTATTAAATATTATTATAAAGTATTTTCATAGGCCTATCAAAATTATTAAAAAAGATTGTTATATGACCTAGAAAAAATTTTTAAATGTAATTGCTGTTAGTTTAGTAAAAAAATAAAGATTATACAACAGCATCCAAAATAATGGAAAAAAAACTTTTTACCTATGGGATTACAAATCACCCCATGGCTATCCATTTAAAGAGGAAGCTATTGGAAGAAAAATGATATATTAACTATTGGATATTTCATGAAAAATTGGTTTTTCAAATTTTAATTTGATAACTATACATAAATGTATAGAAGTCTAGAGAATAAAAAGGCATTTTTAAAATTAATGACATGTAATAATTTATGTAAATTTGCTAGTTGCCATAATCTAGTGTACCTCGTGTGGCCCAGGCATCTTCCATATCTATCTTTGATTGGAGCACTCTGTGGGCTGGGGGTGGGGGGTAGAACATTTCTCCCAATGGGAAGGAAGTATTGAAGCACAGACCGTATGTAAGCACAGAGCACTTGGCAGTGAGGCTGTGGAAGGGATTTAAGCTCTGATAAATATTAACTTTTGCATGCATGACTGTCTACATAATTTGCAGGGCCCAGTCCAAAAGGAAAACTCAGGGCCCCTTGTTCAAATCTTATTAGACATTTCAAGATGGTGACAGCAGAGCATTAAACCAAACATGGGGCCCAGCTAAGCATGGAACTTTGTGTTACTGCACAGGTCACATATCCAAGGAGCCTGGGCCCCTTTTCCGTGTTATAAAATTCTGGAACTTAGGGACGTGTTTTATTAATAATTACACTGGCAAAGGGCACCTGGGTGGCTCAGTTGGTTAAGTGTCAAACTCTTGATTTCGGCTCAGGTTATGATCTCACGGTGGTGAGACTGAGCCCTGCATCAGGCTGCACACTGGCAGCATGGCGCCTACTTAGGATTTTTCTCTCCCTTTCCCTCCACCCCTTCCCCACTCGCTCACACATGCGCATGTGCTTTCTGTCGCTCTCTCAAAAAAAAAAAAAAAAAAAGAGCTGTACTTGCAAAAGTGAAGGGAAGGAGAGGAGAATTATGAAGAAATGAAAATAAATTTCTGGAAAAGAGGAAGTGAATGAAAGCATGATGACAAGTGAATCAGAAAAAAAAAGAAACTGCGGCCCAAAGTAATTTCCAGACAGACATGCAGCAGAATTGGGAATCGGCTTTCCAGGCACTACGTGGATATGGGGCTGGCAGGTGCAGTGTGAGGAGGTGAGACCAGCAATGCAAGTACTGTATTAGCCGGAGCACGCCATTCACCGTCTCCCTGCCCCCGCAAAGGCAGCCATGTGACTACACCGCAGGCACAAAACTGGGACACCTCCTCTGGAGAAATTTAACCCACAGCCCAGGTAAAATTAATGCTGACCTAGGAAGGAAACAAATACGCATCACAAATAAAGGAGGAAAACAACCACACCCTGGCTATCTAGAAAAATTAGTTCGGATCTTCATGCGTGAATATGAAAAAACAACCAAGAATCACCAGACAGGAAGACCTGCAGTCGTGTGAATGCGAAATCACTGGATAACATAACAGAAAAAGGGCACAAGACAATTCAGTCAACAGAAGAGAAATCTGAAAATTGTTATCCTCAGAGGGTCACCAGGGTGGCTCAGTCGGTTAAGCCTGTGATTTCAGCTCAGATTATGATCTCCAGGTTTGTGAGATGGAGCCCCATTAGGTGGAGACCCTGTGTCGGGCTCTGTGCTGACAGCTCAGAGCCTGCAGCCTGCTTCAGATTCTGTGTCTCCCTCTCTCTGCCCCTCCCTGTTCACTCGTTCTCTCTCTCTCTCTCTCAAAAATAAATAAACATTAAAAAAATTTTTTTTTTAAAAGTGTTATCCAGAGATATTTGAGAAGAGTGCGCTCATCAAACAAACGTTCGGGGCTAATGTAATCAAGGAGGAGATCTTAGGCAGTATTTTTGGTTAATAGCCAGAACTTCTTAAAATTTTAATAGAAGGTTTGGAAGACAACATTAAGATATCTCCGAAAACGTTAAGTAAAACAAAGATAAATTAATGAAATACATGAGGTGGAAAACAAGATACCTATAG